AAACAAACAAACAAACAAATGAATAAATGTAAGTTACCAAATAAATAATGTTCTTCCCCAAGAGTTTCAGCAGTAAGTCTGCTGGCTTACAACACTAAAAATGTGGTTTTTATACCTGCGGAGGGTTGAGCACAAATAGCCCATTGTGTAGCTTTGTGCTTAACGACAACAAATAAAATAAATACACTCATACTTCACATTCTATGGTTCCAGCATCTCTCCATTTGAATGTACAGCTTTCAACTGGTTGTAAATATAGAATCGGTGGTTTGTGAGTAATGGTCTGCCTTGCCCAACCGTTCCACATTATGCTAATGACACTTTTAGACACTTCTAGCCAATTCGTAACACCCTGTTGTGATTGGCCGGCTTCCATTCGTTCTAGCAATTGTTCGTTCTAGTAATTTGGAGGACTTAGAACTCTTTGATTCGCTTCAAAGGGATAAAACTGCGTGACACTACTATGTAGAAGAACAGATAGAAGGACCACATCATATGATAAATCATAAGGTGCCTGATTTGCATAACAATGAGGTGAGGAGGTTGATAAATATTATTTATCGGTTGTGACTCGATAACGCAATAATATTACAAAGTCAAATTATCTTTTACTTGTTTTGTACAATTTAGTTTACGATGTTTGAGCTGCAGATTCTGTGATATTTTCTTTTATATATATTATATATTTTTTACAATAAAAATACAAAGAACAGGATAACAATATAGAACGTTCATATAATCACAACGAAAATCAGGAGATCTACCCTTTTATTTGTTAATCTCTTTCATTATCCGTCTATCGTTTAGTTCTGGCTTACCGTCACAAAACCACATGGATAGGGTATGGGTAAAAATGATATATATATATATATAGGCTTGGAGAGAATTCACTGAGTATAAATACGTTTTCTATAGATGGTGATTCCAGTCCAAAGAAAACTCTAAGAGAAGTGGAATACTTAGAAGAAGATATAGCAGTGCTAGGACACATAAGCGATTTGGTTTCAGCATTGAGATGCCACCACCAGGTACTTCAGCATGATGTATTGTAGAATACATCTGTGAATACGAATTATTCAGTGATATGTTTTCTAATGACCTAAGTATTATTTGTTCACGTGAAATGTATTAAGAATCGTAGTCACCAAAATTTCTTAGTATTTAAGAATTGCAGAAATCACTGTTTCAGGATTCCATAGGTTCAGTAATAATTCTGGTTTCAAAGAAAAAATACTGAGCTATTAAATTGTATATTCTAAAATATTATATCTTTTGTACTTGTCAGGCTCAGTTCGTTCTACCTTGTCACAGTATACCAGTTCTTTCCACTCTATCAGAATGAACCAGTTAGTCCCACTCTGACAGATGTATCAGTTCGTTCCACTCTGACAGATGTATCAGTTTATTCTACTCTGTCAGAGTGAACCAGTTAATCCCACTCTGACAGATGTATCAGTTCGTTCCACTCTGTTAGATTGTATCAGTTCGTTCCACTCTGACAGTTGTATCAGTTCATTCTACTCTGTCAGAGTGAATCAGTTCGTTCTACTCTGTCAGAGTGTATCAGTTCGTTTCACTCTCTCAAAGTGTATCAGTTTGTTCTACTTCTAAGATAAAAATACTTAAAACCTACCAGGAAATGTGTATATTTTTATCTTTTTTTTTGTTATCAACTGGAAACCTGGGGCTTCTTCGTTATTTGTGTTGCAGGCACTGGATGAAGCCGTCCAAGAATTGCTGAACACCGTCAACAAGCAGCTGGTTGAGAGACAGGCTGGAGACTCGCAGTTACTGAGCGTTGAGATAGCTGTCACAACACAGTGAGTACCGTTCTCTTGTCTGTAGACATATTATCTATTACATCACCCATGGAAATATAAAATCCTTTGATTTTATGAGGCTAACATTGTGTGACTCGATAGAGCCATCTATTCTTCTTCTTTGTTCCGTTACAAAGTATTTTTTCGCTAGATGGCACTACATCATTTATAATATTCATTAGAACATGTATTAACTAAGGTTTTGTCAGGTTGAGTATTAAATTATATAAGAGTTCTGGAGTAACGCTAGTTTCAGATTCTTTTATTAGGTCTTTTTTGTAGAAGGCCTTTGTAGCCTCAAGTAGGATTTTCATTTGGCAGTAGTTCTATGTGTTTATAAAAATGTAAATATCAAAGAAACTCACGATATTAGTCAGAAATAAGCTAGTTTTAGGTCGGTATGCTATAAAGAAACACACTGGTTTATAGCGACATCTTTAAACTGTTACATACTTCATAAGAGAAACAAAAAGAACATTAAGTAACTGACTGTTTACATGTTTGACTAGATAAAATATTTAAAGAATTCCAAAGTATTTCAGAGCCATGTTTGTTTGTTTTTCTGTGAGTCACTTTGCCACCGACTGTGTGTGTGTGTGTGTGTGGGGGGGGGGGGTAATAAGCCAATTTATACCACATGAATGATATATATACTTGTCTTCTCGTCCTACTACGTGATCGAATGATATTGAAGATACCTATAAGTGAAGATGGTGGACATATATATATATATATATATATATAGTAAGACGATATTTCCCTTTCCAAAGCTCCATTTTTAACATTTTAACGTATACATTTTTAACGTTCATTTTTATGAACGATATATATATACAGTAAGACGATATTTAAAACTATGGAAATAAAAGGCTTCTCTACACTCAGAAAAAAACATTAATTAAGTTTTAACCTAAAGAAAAAATGATAAAGGAATAGAGAAGTAAAAGTATATTTTTATAGGCTTAAGGTAATTTATTTTTTAGTATTGTTTCTAGTTAAGCATAAAGCAACACAAATGTCTATCTGTACTGTGCTCATGACGGGTATCGAAACCAGGTTTTTAGCTTTATAAGCCTTCAGAATTGCCACTGAGCTACTGGGAGGTGTTTTTGAGTATATTTTGATATATTCAATTTATATAATGATTGTATTTTATACGTGTATATGTTCTGAAAAAATATGTATTTAATTGAGGTACAATTTTAGCTGAAATATTGTATCGAAACATTTTTCTGTAGATTCTCTGTAAAACTTACATTCTGAAGAATAATCTTTGAAGTCATGAAACCGGTTGAAAATTAACCAAATCTTGTCATAAAAAGCGAGGAATTAATGAAGAAAAAAAACCCAGAAAAATTCAAGAATTATGGTGTTTTAATATATATATATATCGTTCATAAAAATGAACGTTAAAAATGTATACGTTAAAATGTTAAAAATGAAGCTTTGGAAAGGAAAATATCGTCTTACTCTATATATATATCGTTCATAAAAATGAACGTTAAAAATGTATACGTTAAAATGTTAAAAATGAAGCTTTGGAAAGGGAAAAATTTACTGATAAATCCCATGCACTCACATTGTCCTTTCTGTGATACGTAGTAACAAAGACATTATTCTAAGGAAGACATTTTTAGTGTGAAATAAAGAATTGTGCTTTATGTAATCGAGGTTATATTAAAACCACGAGAGCAATGCAGAAAAAGCCCACTATATGCCAGCAAACATTTAAATGAACGTATTAGAAACTAATTTAAAATTCCGAAAGAACCACATTTTAATATATTTCTTTTCGCGTGTGTAATATAAAATATAAGAGATTTATTTTTAAGACTATTTCATACATTTTTTGGAGCCACTTTAGATAGAGGTAAGAGGGCATAAGTAACAGTACTTGAGTATGGTTTATTGGAATAATGCAACGGTAAAAACTAGTACTACGAATCACAGAAAAAAAAGTAAGTACGAGGTGTGTTTGTATTAAATCATTAAAAATTATCGAAATAAATCGTCTTTCTGTAACAACTAAAATAAAGTTTTAACGAAAGAAAAATGATAAAGGATTAAAAAAGAAATGAAAGTATATTTTATAAGTTTAAACTCATTTATTTTATGAATGTATTTGTAAGTATTTTATAAGTATATTTGTAGGTATTTAATTCATATAAAGATTGTATTTTATGAGTATATTTTTAAGTATTTAATTCATATAATAAGATCGTATTTTATAAGTATATTTCTAAGTATTTAATTCTTATAAAGATTGTATTTTATGAGTATATTTTTAAGTATTTAATTCATATAAAGATTGTATTTTATGAGTATATATATTAACATATATTAACTTCAGCTTTCCCCCCTAGAGACACAGTGGTAAGTCTGTGGACTTATAATGCTAGAAAGCGGGCTTCGATACTCGTGGTGGGCACAGCACAGATAGCCCATTATGTAGATTTGTGCTTAACAAATAAACGGAAATTCAGGCTATTTATTTTTAGTTGCAAAGTTGTATCTGAAAAATGTTATTTGCTTTTTTGTAAAATTACACATCCTGAGAGTTAACCTTTGAAGTCACGAAACCGGTTGGATGTAAAATACACATCCTGAAGGTTAATCTTTGAAGTCACGAAACCGGTTGGATGTAAAATTACACATCCTGAGAGTTAACCTTTGAAGTCACGAAACCGGTTGGATGTAAAATTACACATCCTGAAGGTTAACCTTTGAAGTCACAAAACCGGTTGGATGTAAAATTACACATCCCGAGGGTTAACCTTTGAAGTCACGAAACCGGTTGGATGTAAAACAAGTCATGTCAAAACTAGTCACAAAATAATAAAAGGAAAAAAGTTCCATATTGTGTTGTTTTAATATTTGTGTCCACGGGTGGAAACGTGTATGTGTTTTAGTTACATACACGTGTATGTATTAGCGTGTTTGGCTGCTAATGCAGAAGGTCCAAGGTTCAACATTTCGATACGCTGTTCAGTACATTCTTTACTTTTAGCTGGAGCCGAATTATATATATCTAAAGTCAGTCAATCTCGCTGTTCAGTTAAGAGTTATTGTGTAGGCGACGGGGGTGCTATTGGCTGCCTTCCCTCCTTCTAGTCAGCAGTTCTAGATTAGGGATGTCCAGGTTGATGAATACTAATTATTAAACAATAGGTTTCTGCTTGTGTGGATTCAGCAGATAGGAAAATGATACAGCATTTTATTGTGTGTTATATGTATATATGTTGACTGGCCACTTTATTAGGACCTCCTTATTCATTCAGACTTGGGTCTGATCTAAGATGCATATGTAAATTAGGTTGAACACATGATGTGCCAGTTGCTCCTGCAGCACTAACTGACTGTGACAAGCACGTTTTCAGTCCGTCTAACAGATACGAGGAAAGGAAAACTAATGCAGCAAAAAGGGCATGATAGTTAGTATATGTCTAGCAGGTGTCACAAAGGCCAGCACAGTTTCGTTGGTGTACTGCTCCAGGACATCGGTCATTCGGGTTAATCAGTAACGGCAAAAGGTGAATAAAATGTCTGCAACAAACATGTAATAACAGGAAAAGGATAAAGGCGGATAGACAGGATGGTAAAGTACAACCGTCATCAAACAACAGACTAACTGACAGACACCCAGTGCAGGACAACCCACACCTCTCTCTAGTCGTACCTTACGAAGAACCTCACAACAGATGGACTGTGGTGATAGGACACTATTACATAAACTCCTGCAGTCATTTATCAAGTGAAAAAGTGGTAAGTTTACATACTTACAACGCTATCCAGGTTTAGATTCCCTACAGTGGACACAGCAGATACCTCAGTGTGGCTTTACTTTAAAAGAAACAAACAAAACTTATCAACAAGAACATACACCAAGAGAGGTGTAAAGAGTGTGAGCATTGAAATAATAAAGACTGGCGAAAGATGATGCAGTCCAGTGAATCACGTTTAACCCAAGAACGGTAGGATACAGATTTAGAAAAAGCAACAATAATAAATCAACCCTTCTGTGTGGTCCTAACTGTTCAGGCTTCTGGTGTTGGAGTTATAATTTGGGGCATTTTTTTCTGTCATATTCCGGGGTCCCTTTATTCAATTAAGAAAGCAGATTTAATGCCACAACTTATCTTAGAACCTTTTCTGATCAAGTATATACATCGATGCTTCGTGAGTATCCTGATGAGGATAGCTACTTCCAAGACAACAATACCCTCACCCAGCGCATCTAAATTGGGCGTACATGATTTAGGGAACAACACAAAGACTAGGTACCTCCCATGGCTGTCTCAATCCCGGATCTCAATCCAATTGAGCATCTGAGGGATGAATTTGAATGATACATTCGCCATCTATCCTCTTCCTACCTCACTCCATGAATTGCATACAATATTTATGATTGAATGAAGAAAAACCCCCAGAACACCTTCCATCATCTTATGGATTCTTGCCACGTCGTCTCATGGCTGTTATTTGGAGGTGATCCAATTTGCTATTACGTATAGTTACTAATGAATTGGCCAACCACTGTGTGTGTGTGTAAGTAATAATGATTTAAGTCACATCTAACTTCATGTGGATATTTTAATTCGCAAAGTAACTTTCAGGTTTTATCAAGGAGTAATTAGTTATATTTTCCCTTATATATTCTTCAAAGAACCGGTTTCATAAATCTGTCTACTCTTCGTATATATATATATATATACTTTCATGATAGTAGGAAAACACGTAGGCTTAAGAAATCAATTTAATACAAAAGTACGAAACCCTATAGACCCGAGATCTTTCAAAAAGTGGACCTTTTCTTCTCCAGGGGCAAAGTTTTTTCATGAAGAAGACAGGTCCACCTTTCGAAAGCACTCGGTCTATAGGATTTCGTATTTTTTGCGCTTCATATATATGTGTGTGTGTGTATGTGTGTCTATAACTGGACAATCGCTTAATCGATTTTCACCAAACCTTGCACATAGACTTAAGACATAGGAAGATTGGCGTTTTCAAACCTGACCTTCCTACATCTCCCTCCCTTCGAGGGGCACATTTGTGTTCCCCATGAGTTAGACGGGTACATCAGCTAGTGTATGTATATATCCAATTCAAAACAGTTGGAAGATTCGAGAATATCAAAAGAACTAGATATAGAGTTTTGAACTGTATTACTCAACAGTAATTGTTTATAAGGATTCTTAGTCATTAAATGTATGTTAGTTAGTGGAAAGGTTTTGCCTGTTTTAGAATTTTCGCAAGAACTTACACAACGACTATCTGCGGATAATCGTACATAATTTTGAAGTGATTGACTAACGGGTGTGACTGAAGGTGTGACAGACGGAGAGTCGTAAAGGTGTGACAGATGGAGAGCTAGTGAAGGTGTGACAGACGGAGAGTTGTGAAGATGTAACAGATGTAGAGCTACTGAAGGTGTGACAGACGGAGAGTCGTGAAGGTGTGACAGATGGAGAGCTAGTGAAGGTGTGACAGATGGAGAGCTAGTGAAGGTGTGACAGGTGGAGATCTATTGAAGGTGTGACAGATGTAGAGCTAGTGAAGGTGGGACAGATGTAGAGCTAGTGAAGGTGGGACAGATGGAGAGCTACTGAAGGTGTGACAGACGGAGAGTCGTGAAGGTGTGACAGGTGGAGAGTCGTGAAGGTGTGACAGGTGGAGAGCTATTGAAGGTGTGACAGATGTAGAGCTAGTGAAGGTGGGACAGATGGGGAGCTATTGAAGGTGTAAAATGGAGAGCTAGTGAAGATTGAACAGTGATATGTAGAGTTAGTGAAGATGTGAAAGACGGATAGATAGTGATGGTCTCCCTGATGGAGATCTAGTGCAGGTATGGCAGAGGGAGAACTATGGAAGGTGTGATATAGGAAAAAAAAACTTACGTAGTTTGTGACAGGTGAGAAAAATTAGTGAAGATATGATTGGTGTAGTGCTATTGAAAATATCTGGATAAATTAAAAGAGTAACAGTAACTACTTAAAAGAAGATTTCAAGTTCCAGAATATTCCTATTCGTAAACGAAACGGATATCTATTGACGTAAGAATATCTTTCTGAACAGAACACCCTAAGGAGATATGCTGCATGATACCTTAAGCTCCTCTGGGTCAAATACAGTATACAAGTGGTTAACACGTGGTTGGAATTGATAATTTTAAGGTTATTGAAGCTGAATGTTAGCCAACAACAAGATTCTTTTTCACAGTTCTTTACGGCCTTAGTTATATGCAGTCATTGATTTTCGTAAACATACTTATTTTGCTTAAACAACAACCTCGGATTATTGAAGCTTAACGCTAGCCAACAGCAAGATTGTTTTTCACAGTCCTTCAACGCCCTTGGTTATATGCTATGATTGATTTTCGTAAAATATACTTATCTTGCTTATCGTCGCTATGACAACCATTCAAATTTGTTATGTTCTAAAATGTACTAGAACGCTGTATCTTTTCGCAGATCTCGTTCTTTCAATCATCTCGAGATGATTTGTATTCTGTGCTGTTATTTAGCTATTTTGAGAAAAGATCGAGAGGAGCTATTTTGAAAAACAAATTTAATAAAGTCTGTGGCATTACGCTGTACAACTGACAGCTAGGCAAGTAAACTGAACATCACAATAACAGGGGGCGCTTGGCTAAGCCAAACTCAACCATAAAAAAACAGACTGATCAAATTGTTTGACTTTGAAGAATAGATTATACCTTTATGGAAACATAAAAGCAAAAAATCAAGATTAATTCACTTGACAATGGTGGGCTTATATATACCCACATAACAACTTAAAGTAGGAAATGTCATGGGACTAAGCCTAATCTTTAGAAATGGAAAGCAGAGCTTGTTGAGATTTTGTTGCTACACATGTCCAGAAGGCAGACGTCACTGGAACATAACAAATGACTTAATTAGTGTAGTGCATTAGCATTGACTATGAGTGACCCTCTAAGCTCTAATAAAATACGTCGGGAGTGGATTTTTGATGTCATATGCTGTGATTGGAGTCTGATCTATAGTAGATTGCTGCCATCCTTGTTAGGAGCAGGAGAATAAAATACGTCGGGAGTGGATTTTTGATGTCATATGCTGTGATTGGAGTTTGATCTGTAGTAGATTGCTGCCATCCTTGTTAGGAGCAGGACAATAAAATACGTCGGGAGTAGATTTTTGATGTCATATGCTG